TTTTATATCACATGATTTTTGAATAATAAAATTTGGTTCGTGAATTTTGAATTCCAATCTTTAAACACCTGAATTATTATAATTTCTCATACACTAAAATAGAGGCCAAAATTGAGGCCCAATACAAAACCAATTACCCTAAATATTAAAATGGAGGCCCATTATACAAGCGATTACCCAAACAAGTCACACCAAATACTGGTTTCCGACACAGGAACTAGTCTACTTGTCTTCGGTGGTTGTGGGCGAATTTGCAGGTTGGCGGCTGCTCTTCCTTTTCTCTCTGGTTCTCTTCGGTCTTGCGATCTATTTCTTCTCCTCTTCTCCGTCTTCTACCACTGGGGGCGGTGGCTGCATATGTTTTTTTTTTTTTTTTATGTTGGCGGTGAGATTGATGGGTTGGTTTGGTTGGGTTGGAATGTCGGATTTTGAAGTAATTTTAGGACGAATTTGGTTGGAGTAGAGCGTGCAGTGACGGGTTTGTCACTTTGGGCGATGTTTGATTGCCGGTTATGGTTGGTGTTTATGGGGGTTTTATGATGGTGGTATGGTGGTCGTGATTGGATTTGCAGGTGAAATATTTATTAAGTTTTGGGTTATGTATTCATAGAACCTTGTGGAAGAAGAAATCAGTAGTTGAAATATTTCTTAGTGATTTTGGGAGATGGGTGTGGAGGAAATTTCAGGCGGGTCTGTGATTGTGACTGGTGGCGGTTTTGTAAGTGAGGCGGTGGTTTTGATGTGGAGGTGTGATTGAGGTGTAGGATTTTAGGCTCTGATACCAATTTGACGTAAAATCAATGGGAAGAAGAAAAAGAAAAAGAAGAAGAGGAGGGGAGGAAGAAGCCGAGAGAGAAAAGGAGAAATCGTAGTAGCTACCAATCTTAATTTTCATCAAATCATTAACTAAATTCAACTACAATGAAAACCCAATAAATAGTGGGAAAAAAAAACAAACTTTTAAGGGCTTGGGCCAACTCTCTACTACAAGCCCAATAATACGAAACATAAATAATAAAGTCTAATAACAATAAAAATAAATCCCGATCTCGATAATGTCTCAATAATGTTCGCATCAATATATATAGCGAAAAGTGTTTGGGATGAAAAGCGATTGGAAAACAAAGTGTTTGAAGCGAAAGAGAATCCTGGACGTCGACACGTTGCTCAAGCGTAAGCTAGCGACAGGCGAGCACAGTTGAGCAGTAGTCAGTATTTTTATCATAACTTTCTCTCCTAATATCCTATTGAGATGATTTAAAATGCGTTGAAAATGTAACTCAAAGGGCTACAATTCTTCTAGAAATAGCCTAGTTTAAATTATGCATTGTAAGTTGCAACTGAGAATTTGGAGCATAATTTGTATGGCTCTTTGACACTCTTTAAACTTCTAACAACATTCCCTTGATCAATGTGATCTTCTTGGAAATTTGTCAATTAAAAATTTAGAAATTGTCAATTATAATTTGGACTTGACACAGGCAATGACATGAGCCATCCTTCAGAACAAAAATAGCAAATGATACATTCAGGTTCATTTCTTTACAATGTAATTAATAACTAAAACCCTTTTACAAATTTTACAAAGATAATCAAACAAATATATGCTAAAGCAAGGGTAAATACCACTTACTAGAACAGATGAAATATTAAATGTAGGTCTTCGATGATCATTTATATTTTATTGACTCAATGAAGTACTCTTTGCATAGTAAACATGTGGCCATGTGTAAATGGCATGACCACACATTAGACAAGTTTACTTAGTCACTGAAAAATGAAATAATCAGACCTAAAACTATTAAAAATCTTTATACTTGAGTAGATACAACATGTCCATCCTGTTTCATATAGTCTTAAACCTATCTGATGAGTTCCCAACCCCCTCCTCTCCTTTTCCATGAGGAAAAAAAAAATAGGAGAAGAAGAAGAAGAAGAAGAAGAAGAAATAAAGGAAAAGTAAAGGATGTAGAACAATGATATAACTACACATGCTTGAATATTGTTACCAAAAATTAAGGGGACCATACAGCTAAGAGGCATTTGATCAATTTCTTACCTGGTGAATAGGCATATGAGATATGGTAGTCTCTAGAGATGAGCTTCTTAATGATTTAGATAGGTTCATACATGTTGCTAATCACTAGAAAGGATCCCCTGCACCTAATCACCAGCGCTTCCCCTCAAGAGGCCTATCTGTAGAATCAAAGATATCTTCCCGATGGTTTTCAGCAAATGCTATTTTCCCTTCATAAGATAATATGTCCACACCACCACCATATAAATTTGCTAAATGTATCTTAAGCCATCGTAAGCGTGATTTTCCAAGTGGGCACCCTTCTGCAAATTTGAGGATTCCTCGGCAGAAGTCAGATCCAAGATGATTCAAGAAGAACAATTATGTTTGCATATGCGTCTTTACTAAAATAAAAAATAAAAAAAAATACCCTACCCGAGCTTATAAATAAACACTATATATGATAATGGACAGCATTTCATCAATCGATAAATTTCACAACTTATGAATTCAGGTACAGGGCCTCCACTCTAAGAAACACTGGGCATGACAAACAATAATGGTCCTTGAATTCATGTGGAGTGTCCCACGAGAACAGACCAAGAACCTTTTTAACGATTTCTCTTTAAAAAGGGGAAATAATCATTCTTTTCGTACCTCCTATCAATTTTTTTTTCCCCCCATCTCTGCTCTGCAAGCCTTTATTCTAAACTAACGTGAGTTGTGAACAACTATTAAAGATTAAGCGTTAATAATTTCGATTTCACTTAGACCATATTTGATTGCTCTTTTTTTTTCCATGAAAAATGGAAATTAAAATTCATTTCCACATTTTTGTATGTTTGATTGACTAAGGGGGTGTTTATTTCTGATTTTGAGAATTGATTTCAAATCAATTCTCGTTTTCAACCACACATTCTTCAATAAAATAATATTTTTCATCACATCAATAATTTTTCTTCCTTTTCAACCACACATTTCTCATCATATCACTATTCAAAAATCAATTCTTCCCCCAAAAATCCCTACCAAACAAGCTCTTAGTCACTGAAAAATGAAATAATCAAACCTAAAACTATTAAAATCTTTATACTTGAGTAGATACAACATGTCCATCCTGTTTCATATAGTCTTAAACCTATCTGATGAGTTCCCAACCCCCTCCTCTCCTTTTCCATGAGTAAAAAAAAAAAAATAGGAGAAGAAGAAGAAGAAGAAGAAGAAGAAGAAGAAATAAAGGAAAAGTAAAGGATGTAGAACAATGATATAACTACACACGCTTGAATATTGTTACCAAAAATTAAGGAGACCATACAGCTGAGAGGCATTTGATCAATTTTTTACCTGGTGAATAGGCATATGAGATATGGTAGTCTCTGGAGATGAGCTTCTTAATGATTTAGATAGGTTCATACATGTTGCTAATCACTAGAAAGGATCCCCTGCACCTAATCACCAGCGCTTCCCCTCAAGAGGCCTATCTGCAGAATCAAAGATATCTTCCCGATGGTTTTCAGCAAATGCTATTTTCCCTTCATAAGATAATATGTCCACACCACCACCATATAAATTTGCTAAATGTATCTTAAGCCATCGTAAGCCTGATTTTCCAAGTGGGCACCCTTTTGTAAATTTGAGGATTCCTCGGCAGAAGTCAGATCCAAGATGATTCAAGAAGAACAATTATGTTTGCATATGCGTCTTTACTAAAATAAAAAATAAAATAAAAATACCCTACCCCAGCTTATAAATAAACACTATATATGATAATGGACAGCATTTCATCAATTGATAAATTTCACAACTTATGAATTCAGGTGCAGGGCCTCCACTCTAAGAAACACTGGGCATGACAAACAATGATGGTCCTTGAATTCATGTGGAGTGAACATCTGCCTTTACCAAACACATATTGATGAGTTAATACATGTAAAAAAGTTATTAGGTCATACTTGCAAATCAGCTAGAAAAAATAGTAAATACAGTCGGTGCCTTCATCAACGGTACATCAATCTGTTTTAATTGGTTGGTGGCTGTGGAAGAGAGTGGGGTACCAACGGACATTTTCCTTTCCCTTATCTCTCTCAAGGGTGTTTGTGTCTGTAGTGCGAACAGTGAACAATAATGTTGCCTTGAGTGATTCTCCACTGCATTAAGACCAACACAGAGAGATACCAATGATGAGAAAGCACATAATCTCTCTCCAATGGTTTCAACCAGGATAAAAGCCACATTTGATCATCAAAGCGTACAATTGAACTCTGAAACTGAAATCACCAATTTGGTCAAATGAATGAAGCATAACCGAACAAATTTGTTGGTCGAGAGAAATGTCATCAACTAACATCACTCGAAGAAAAAGCTTTGCATCATCTACTAAATCTCTTTTGCAAAGTCTATTGATCACAGCGCTGTAATCTCTTATAGAAATTTGATTGAAGAGAACCATTGCCTTCGGAACATCACCCTTCGCACAATGTGCTTTTATTAAAGTACATAGGCAACGTTTGACAATCTAAGAAAAGAGTTTATCAGCATCCTTTAGGTCTCCATAAACACATAAACCATTAATGAGAATGTTATAAGTTATATGATTAGGCCAAAGATTATGTAGTAACATGTTGTTATGTAACTCAAATGCTCTTTCCAGATATCGACCTTTACAGAAACACTGAATGAGAGTATTGTAAGAAGTTTGATATGGAGATATACCCATAGCTATCATTTTCCTGAGAACCTGAATAGATTCTTTTAGCTTCCCTTGCCTGCATAGCCCTTTCATAACCACGAGAATGTTATAAGTTATATGATTAGGCCAAAGATTATGTAGTAACATGTTGTTATGTAACTCAAATGCTCTTTCCAGATATCGACCTTTACAGAAACACTGAATGAGAGTATTGTAANTTTATAATTTTTTTTTTTGCTATAAAAAATTTCCAGTTATACGGTTAAGGAAAAATATAACTCTACTTCCAAAAACATTTGTTCATCAAATTTAAGAACCTAAATCCATAACTCTACTTCCAAAAAACATTTATTCATCATGTATTTTAGCAGAGAATATATGGATATTTTTTTTTAACGGTTCACGGGGCGGGACATCTCCGCCCCGCCCCGCGACCCAAGACAAGGCGCCCCTCCTAGCCCCGCCCCGCCAACCCGCTCGGGGAGGTTTTTTTGGCCCCATTCGGGGCGGGGCACCGTCGGGACGGGGCGGGACGGTTTTTTTTTGCCATCTCTAACCAAGTCACTATTTGCCACTTTATCAAAATAACTTCTTGCCTCTGATACTGCCCCTTTCTCGCATAGTCCTAATAGAATAGATCGATGTAGAACATAATCTGTGGTGATTTTCTTCAGACACGTCTCCTTATAAAGCTGGACGACCTTTTGTTCTTCTCCCATCTTGCAAAGACCATGATTGAAGATAGAATACATCACATGATCTGGTATTAAACCAGCACTTTCCATCTCACTAAGAAATCTCAGAGCTTCATCCATACGCCCACTCTTCTCAATTCAGAAACATCAAATGCTGGAAAATAAGAAGCACGAATATTTGTAAAACCATTACGTACTCGTATCTAGTATATTTCCAAGCTTGGACACTCTCTGATACGTACCAAATACATGTTTTTTTTACTATTTTATATTTTAAAATTTTTTTATATGTATCGAATACGTATTTTTTAATTATTTTCAATATGTATTCAATACATAACGGATATGAATTTTTAATTATTTTAATATGTTATTGAATTTGAAAAATATTTATTGAAAATAAACAAGTTTATCAAGAAATTTAAATCTTTATTTACAAGGAGAATTCAAATATGGGGCATTGGCGAAGACTCATTTGATAATCTTGAAGGTATTGAATTGCTTAAGATTGCTAATCCATCATTAGATAAGTGGGTCAGAGTTGGATAGTGTTATTTTATTGATAATGAAGCTGATGTTAAAGAAAATGAAGTTTATACAATTAAAGATTAAGATAAAATACTTTAATATTTTATTTTAATTTTATGAAATTATGTTGAATTTTATAATATGTATCCAAGTATCCTAATTTTTTTTTTTAAAAAGTCGTATCGGCATACCTATATCGTATCATATTCGAATTACGTATCTGTATTCGTGCTTTTTAGGTTGCAACCACCATGGTGGAAGAGAAGTAAAACTTTAAACTTTTCTAGAACAAACAACTACAATTATAAATTATTCATGTCCTAGTTTACAGCTTCACCATCATAATTCAGAACTCAAACCAAAATTTTGAAAACAGAAAAAAGAAGAATCTAGTTCTGTTCAGTTCAACAAGCAAGCTCATCGAATCTAAAGGCTATAGTAGGGCATGTTTGAGCTCCATTTTTTTGGGTTAGAATGCATGTTAAAATAGTAGATTGCTAGTTAAAAAATATAGAGAAGTTTTGGGTTTGTGTACTATATTATTTTATTAAAAAATGTGCAGTTGAAATGAGAGAAAAAAATGGAAATCAGGGCTTAGTAAACTTTCCATCAATCAAAACTTACCATCTTCTAGAGCACTTGATGTAAATGAACCTGCAGTGCAAGGGGACGTTGCTTCCGTGCCAAAATATGGGCAATAACAAACTGTGAAACCTTTGAATGCTTCTGTTGACATTCAAAAATGAGGCCAATTAAATGGTCCAGAAAATGAAGCCCAGTTAGAGAATCCGAAGGATGGACCAAAACCCAAGACGGAGTTATGCAATGGAGGCCCATCATCGCCCAAGCCTACGAGACTCCCAGACGCCTAAGATCTGGGCGAGCCTGTCATCGCTCAAGTCAGTGTGACGCTCAAAATCTAGACGAATATAGTGTTTTGGTTACTGTTTGAAGCAACGGTTATTAAAGCAATTAATGGGTAATCTTATCACATTCCACAATCCAAGAATCTCAATTGCAAGAAGTTAAGAGATGAGGTAATGGCAGCGGTTGAAAACGGTAGGTTCATGACAAGTCATCCACGATGGAGAAATTGGGTAGTTACAGGATGATGGGCAGTTTTCAGGAGTTTTCAAACGGTTTTACAAGAGGAACTGTCAAAGGAGTATAAAAGAGAAAGAAGAATCTACAAGAGAAAAAAGATCAAACCAACTCTCAAACAGAGAACTATGTAATTTCATTTCTTAGTTAACTTTCAATTATTTCCTTCTAGAATTTGTGTGGTTGCGCCCCTTAGAGTCATTTTGTTTCGTCCACATTGTAATCTTAATCAATAAAACACCCATCGTTGGGACGTTGTCTCGAGAGGTTGTTGTTCCTTACACAATCGTATGATCCATCTTTTAATTGTTAGCGAGGCTCGATTTTTACGCAAAACAATTTGGCACGCCCAGTGGGACAATTGGTGTTTGAAGATACGAAAAGTGAAAGCAATGTGCCTCATAAAAACTCTGACAAGGAACCAGAAAGCCAACGAATAGTTCAGTCTGTAATCAAACGATATGAAGAGCAGCAAAGTGCTTCACTAACAGAGGGACAAAGTCAAAGTCATTACGAGCCAATGACGGAATTGAGTCATCGGACCATGCGTGCATTGCTTGGGCATCTCACGCACGATGTTGTTGAACAGGTAAATTTACAGAATGTTCATAACATGGAAAGATTTGCTCAAAATGGAAATATACATTATGATAATAAGGCCAAACAATTACGTATTTTAAATGAAATCATGAATAAGTTAGTAGATCAAATTTGTCAACCAGTTATGCCAAGTTTCCAAGCTGGACAATTGTGGAACATAATTTCCCAGTCCTGAGTCTGAATCAAGTAATAGTACCCACCTTTTGGACCGTCTACTTCAAACCAGGGGGCTGGTGAAATGGCAAATTTGAATATTGGAAATTGAATATCAAACCTGGGGGGTAACCTAAATGCAAGAGATAATGTCCAAACCAATGGACAGAACACCCCGCGTGTTAATGATGGTGGAAACACTCAGGCTAACGGTAATATAAATAATGGTGCATTTGCCATAAATCAAGGACCAGTTAGGCCTCAAGCAATCCCACCAGTAAATCAACATATAGGATTCCCATATAATCCCAACGTTATATTGATGAATCAAATTACAGAGATAGTACAGGATCAAATGGCTTTTGAGATGCATCCTTTTATTAGGCCTACTTACACAAAGCTATATTAGGATTGGATAGATCAAGCATATCCGTGGCCTAGAGGGTTCAAAGTACCAGAGTTTTCATTATTCACCGGTTTGGGAGAGGTCTCTACTCTGGAACATATAGGGCGATTATCACAAAATAAGATTGATCCCTAGTTCGTTAACAAGAGTAGCCTTCTCATGGTTCATTAACTTGCCAGCAAATTCAGTCCAGACATGGCAACAACTAGAACAATTATTCCACGCTCAGTTTAATAAAATGGAGTCTGAAGTTACTTTGGCCGACTTGGCGAATTTACATCAAATGCCAAACGAATGGCAGAAAGTTTTCTTCAGAGATTTAAAATAGCAGGAGCAAATGTTTTGTACCTCTGCCTGAAAAAGAACTTGTTAAAATCACTCAAAGTTGTTTGAGTTTTGACTTAAAAAAGAAATTTCAAGACATAGAATTTCCTTACCTTTTTCAACTGGGTGCTAATGTGATTAGATATGAACGATTGATGAGAGAAGAAGAACATATGAAAAACTCTAGCAAGATGACTTATTATAGAGACCCAAACTTCGATGTTCATGCTGTTAATGATGAATATTATGATCAGACAGAAATATGTCAGGCCGAATTGGTTAAGGGAGATGCATATGCTTATCTTATAATGGCCAAATTTAGAACATCGGGTAAGGATGAGCCTGTAAAAAATGAAAACAGAAAGGCTAGGATGTTCTCATTTGATGTGACCAAAGTTGACATAAGATTCGATAAATTGTATAAGGAGAAGCGGAAAAATTGTAAATGACACAATGCATGGTCACATATGACTAATAATTATTTGGTCTTTCGTCACGTGTTACAAGTTGCCATCGAGTCAGGGCAAATCACGGTCGAAGCTAAGAAGAAAATGGTAGTGGATGAAAATCTTTTCCCATAGCCACTTGGGGTGAACATGGTGACAACTGGTTTCAAGAATAAGTTGCCAAGATTCAAGTTGGTTGTAGATGACGTAGAAGAAGATTTTGGGTCACATCGTAGTATTTTTGAACCTATCAAATGGAAGGAGCCTAGAGATGACGAAAGTATCCTGTGTGCGAGATGCAAGAGAGAAGTGAATGCAAACATAGAAAGACAAGGAATGTGGGGACATCACCATCGTCCTGATATTGTCCCAAATATCCAGCCTGGTGGAGGACGGGGTGTGTCATTCTATAAGGGATCGCCTTTTGAGAGACAATTCAGGCCGATAAACAATGGAAGAACATTCAGGTCGCAACCTCACCAACCAAATGTGTGGCATTCCTTCCAGATAATGCATGAAGGTACCCTTCAACGAGATTACCAGCACCCAGCAAATGTGTTTTCAACGGAACTTATGGGTGAATGACTAGGCANGTTGTGTGCGAGATGTAGGGGAGAAGTGAATGTAAAAATAGAAAGACCAAGAATATGGTGACATCACCGTTGGCCTAATATTGTCCCAAATATCCAGCCTGGTGGAGGATGTGGTGCATCATTCTATAGTGGACCGCCTTTGGAGAGGCAGTTCAAGCCTATAAACAATGGGAAGACATTCGGCCTCAACCTCGCTAACCAAATGTATGGCAGTCATTCCAGTACAATGCATAAAGGGTTGAACCTTTCAATTAGATGACCAGAACCCAACAAAGGCATTTTCAACTGAACTATGGACGAATGATTAGGCAACAACAGGGATTACCATATCCTAAGGCACCTAAATTACTCTAGGTGGCCAACCAAAATGTTCTTGAAGATAGTAAAGAGACCGGTATGGGCGAATCAATGGAAGAGTTACCAGAAAGTTCTTTCGGGAGATCAAAGTTTGAGTGAGAAAAGAAAGATGAAGAAGATCCAGAGCAACCCCTCACCATCCAATTTGGTACCTTACCTCCTGTTATGGCTAATAATTATTTACTAGCCAATGAATTCAAAAATAAAGAAAATGAAGAGGAAGAAATGAAGGATAACAAGGAGGAAGCATGTGTGCTGGATTGTGAAGAAGGTCAAACATCTCGGGAGGTATATGATGAAGAAGAGGATGATGGCATGACGGACATCGAAGAGGAAATTGATTTGGAAGCAGAGAGAAGACAGAGGGGAGTGTCGCGCAATACTTTATTGAAGCAACTATATCGGGAAGGTGTTCACGAGGTGGATTTGTTGGGAGAACCATTTGGGCGTTCTTTTGACTACTATGTGTTATACAGGACACCCAAGAGAAAGAAGAGAGTGCCTTGCTCGGAGAAATATAGGTCACCTCCAAGAATATTGCCTCACCCTACCGGTTGGATAACCGAAGAAGAAGCACTAGAAGAAAGTAAGGAGGAAATCCAAGAAGTAGAA